GAACGTGGCTGGTGCAGACAGCCTACGTGCACGTCCCCGGGCAGTGGCACGCCTCCCGGGCTGCTCCTGTGCCTTCCCCTCCACACTCCACCGAGCTGAGGCGCACGCGCCTGCCGCATTCCCTACCTGGGATGTTGGGGTCACTGAGGCCGCTTGGGATTCTCCACTGATCCACCTGCAGCTTCAGGGCATTGACTTCATCTATGTCACCAGGTATCCTGCGAGCAGAGGCACGGCAGAGGCGCTTTAGAAGGCGAGCAGGGCGACGTGCCCGGTGCGGCCGCTGACCGGCAAACCGGGGCCCCGGGGAGCAGGAAGCACACACCAGCAGCAGCTCCTTAGAGAGAACGGGCTGCCTGGTTTTAGACACAGCTGTAAAGTGGGGGCAGAAGAAACGCTTATCTCCTTCCCACTAGCTCCGACACCAACGACCTTTCTGTCCTCAGGAGTGACTGTTTTCTGTAACTGGGCCTCTCTGCAGCACGTTCAGTCCAAAGAAACGACTCTGGCTAAGTACACCCTTACAAGGCAAAGTTGAGTCTTTTGCTAGCTATCTCAAATCAAGGTTAGCAAGTGAAAAAATAACACAAATCTGAAATAAAACAAAACCAACAACAAAAACCCAAAAAATCAAAGCCAGACCAGAATCCCCTATGTTCACCACACAGATCCTCTGTCTCCCTTGACTCCTTGTGTCTTGTGCATCATCAAGAATGACGTGCTGCACTTGATGAACTGCTCTGCCAGGATCCCAAGAGCTCGTCCCTTCCCTGCACTGGACGACTGTTACCGGTGAAGTTAATGACAGTTGAGCACCTTGCCCGGGTACATGCTGTCCCAAGCACTTCAAGTCACATCTGCGCTGTCCCCTCTGTGCTAGTGCACGCAAACAGGCTAATGCTACTGTAAAAAGTGATTCCTGAACCCGGGCAAGGTCGGCAATCTGCGGCAGCGCGCTGTTCTCAGGGAAGAGGAAGCACGTGGAGGTTAATCTTGATTTCTTGGCTTTGAGGACTGACATGTGGGTGGCTCAAGAGTAACACAGCGCTCCAAAAGCTCACCTGAAAATGCCCTCCGTCTGTTCTCCTCCCAGAGCCAAGACCTGCTGCGACAGCTGTGTCTGCACCCAGGGCAGCTTGTGACCCGGGTACGTGTCCTGCTGCCGCAGCATGATTTCCTCCAGCGAGCTGCCGAAGAGGGATGGCGTCACGATGGCGTTCCTGGCATGTGTTATCTCCTCCACGGTTGGTTTCCGGAGGCCCTGAGGACAGAGAAGAGCTCAGCGCAGCCGTGGCACAGCCAGGATGGCGCGGGCTGCCCGTGCACGCTGACACCTCGCTGGCCTCCGGGCAGCACGGTTCTCACCCTGCAGCCTCCACCTCCTAAAATCAGGCAGGGGTCAAGCCCTCAGGCCCGAGGAGCCGAGAAGCTGCTGCCTGTTGGCAGGAGATCGCTTTGGAGACTGTGGGCTGTTTTTGCAGGGATTCCGTTGCTGTGATTTGCACACCGGGGGGGGGACTGCTGTGGCATGGCAGGAGGAAGGAGGGAGCACAGCCGTCCCCGGCCGTGGCGAGGTCAGCAGAGAGCACGCGTACACCAGCCCAGGCTGAGCGCTCGGCCACGGGACAGCTGGACAACAGCCCTGTGGGAGTTCCCCAAGAAGGGAATTCCAGGTACGTCCAACTCCAGGGAAAGCTTCGCTCTCAGAGATGCTGAAGCTCTCTGAAAAGTGAGCACCAGGACCTGCTGCTTCTGAAAGATGCTGACACTTGAAAGGGGCCTGGAATTTCCCCCGGCAGAGACTCAGAGAAACATGGAGCGCTGTCGCAGGGGCGACAGGCTGCCCCGCGCAGCAGCCATCTGGCAGCGGCCCTGCGGCTGAGCGG